AGTTGGCTGGAGGCCTGGAGCAGTGCGGAGTGGCTGGGGACCGGGGCAGAGCAGGCTGCAGTGCTGGAGCGGAGCGGAGAGGCTGGGGACCAGGGCAGAGCAGGCTGGAGGGCTGGAGCATTGCGGAGAGGCTGGGGATTGGAGCGGAGCGGGTTGGAGGCCTGGAGCAGGGCGGAGCAGGCTGGAGGCCTGGGCTGGAGCGGAGTTGGCTGGAGGCCTGGAGCAGTGCGGAGCGGCTGGGGACCGGGGCAGAGCAGGCTGGAGGGCTGGAGCGGTGCGGAGAGGCTGGGGACTGGAGCGGAGCGGGTTGGAGGCCTGGAGCAGGGCGGAGCGGGCTGGAGGCCTGGGCTGGAGCGGAGTTCGGCTGGAGGCCTGGAGCAGTATGGAGCGGCTGGAGGCCTAGACCGGAGCAGGGACTGTTGTTGGTTTAGGGTCTGGCGCAGGCAGTCAGCGACCTGCGAGGCTGGTCAGACCACATGTGGAAGCCCCAGCACTGGGCTACTACAATGTAATGTTTATCTGTAATCTGTTTCTCTGATTGTAATGTTTTTCCTTTTAACTATGTATTATTTCTAACTTATGCTATGAATCACTGTAACATAATGCAACTTCTTTTCTTTTATTCCTCTTTTTGTCCCTAAGATTTGTACCTCGGTACTGTGTCCCTAAGATGGCGCCACAAGAGACGATAGTGTAAACTTTTCACTGTACTCCTGTACTTGAGTACACCTGACAATAAAGGATATTCTATTCTATTCTATGAAACAATCATAGTGCTGTTAAAAACCCAACTAGCTCACTAATTTCATCTTCTGAGAAGGGAATCTGCCATCCTTTTCTAATCTACATGTAACTTCAGATACACAGTTATGTGTTTGATCCTTACCTATCACCTGCAATAGCCTAGCAAACCAATCAGTTCTAGGGATGAACAACAAATGCTGGCCTTGTCAATAGTGCCTACGTCCCATGGTAGAATGAGTTAAAAATAGCTACAGAAAAATAGATTGGGAATGAATAGAAATTTGTGACTTTAATTTCATCTTAGATTATGAAACCATTGCAATTTGAAATGTTCGACAAGTAAAATAGAATTCATAGCACTTTTATATTACAGATAATAGATAGCAATGTAAAGTTGAATGTAGTTAGTTAAGGCCCAACGTTGCTGTTAGTAGAGACTTTTATGAATTTTGAAAATGTAATAAAGGCTCATAACCAGATAAGTCTTGAAAGAAATTGATACTTGTCTGTGACAAACCGAGTGGAAGGAAATAGTTAGTTTCACTTACCAGCAGAGCAGTCTTCTTTGATGTAACCTTCATGACAGACACATCGACCATTCACACAACTCCCACGATCATTGCAATTTGCGGGACAGACCAGATCTCCACAATCTACACCGCTGTAATTTGGATCGCAGACACATTGACCATTGACACAGCGGCCACGATTATTACAGTTGTTAAGACATGCCACCTCACTGCATTCCTCACCAGTAAAACCAGCATCACAGACACACTGACCATTGACGCAGAGGCCATGATTGTTACAGTTGTTTGGACAGGCCAGTAGACTGCAGTCTTCCCCAGTGAAGCCTTCATCACAGATGCATTGGCCATTGACACATTGCCCACGGTCATAGCAGTCATTAGGGCAAATCAGCTCACTGCAGTCTTCTCCTGAATAGCTCTCCTCACAGATGCATTGGCCGCTGACACAGCGCCCTTGGTTGTTGCAATTGTTTGGACAAGCTAGTTCGCCACAGTCCTCTCCTGTGTAGCCATAGTTACAGACGCATCGTCCATTGACACAACGGCCAACGTTGTTGCAGTTGTTTGGACACAGGAGCTCACTGCAGTCTTCTCCTGTGAAGCCTTCATCACATATGCAATATCCATCATCACAGTGTCCACGATTGTTACAATTATTCGGACAGGCCAACTCACCACAATCTTCACCAGTGAAACCTTCATTGCAGATGCACTCCCCGTCGACACAGACTCCACGATTGTGGCAGTTGTTCAGGCAAGCCCATTCGCTACAGTCTTCTCCTGCATAGCCTTCATTGCAGACACATTGTCCATTGACGCAGAGGCCATTGTTACTGCAGTTATTGACACAGACAAGTTCCCCACAATCTTCACCAGTGAAGCCTTCATCGCAGTAACATACCCCTTCGATACAGCGTCCACGATCATAACAATCATTAGGGCAAATAATTTCTGAACAGTCCTGATCAGTAAAACCTTCATCACAGATGCACTCTCCATCCACACAGCGACCACGATTATAGCAGTTGTTAAGACAGGCTAGTTTCGTACAGTCTTCCCCAGTTAAGCCTTCATCACAAACACACTGTCCATTCATACAAATACCTTGATTGCTGCAGTTGTTGGGGCACAGCTTTATTCCACAGTCTTCACCTACGTAACCTTCATCACAAACACAAACTCCTCTAATACAGGTTCCATATTCACCACAGTCAAATCGACACAACTCCTGGCTGCAGTCTTCTCCTGTGTAACTGGGAAAGCAATGGCAGGCTCCATTTATACACCTGCCTTGATCACTGCAGTCATTCGGGCAGAATGCTTCAATGCTACAATCTTCTCCAGTGAAACCTTCTTCACACAAACACTTGCCATTAATGCAGGTACCTCTTCCATTGCAATTTTCTGGGCATTCAGGTTCTGTGCAATTTTCTCCTTTCCAGCCTGGGTTACATAAACAGCCGCAGGTATCTGTACTGTAGTTTCCATGTGCACCACAGAATGGTTTTACATCAACACGACCTAAGCACAGATGTTTGTTAGTGTACAGTAAGACTAAGACACAATACCTATAAAGTAGGCAATCAAGACTGAAGGGCTTAAATTATATTAATCACTTGGGCATCGCAACTATACCTAAGCAATATGCTAAGCATGGTATTAAGAATAAATTACGATATGAAGTTAAACATATACCAACTACTTGTAGTAAAGAAATAATTGATATAGTATAGTATAGTAATATAATATAGTATAATATAATATAATATAATGTAGTAATTAAAAGTAGTATGGTTCCCAGCTTACATCACAGACATTGTGTCTATACACCCACAACTATTTAACTATAGCATATAGCTGCTACTTTCATACCTCTTCCTTGCTGTGCACCATTTCCACAGCATCCTCCATTAGCACACTGATCACGTAATAAGGATACGTGATTTTCCAAAGTCTCCAACCTGTTGAGTAAGTCACGGATATCAGGTCCTGCCGCACAGCCGCAGGCCTGACGTGGGATATTGATTCGATGAGTGAAGACAATTTGATTTTCACCATCAACTGTCTGCTCGATGTGTTGGTCACTGGAGTCAGCTTTGGGTCTTGCAATGCCATCAGGGGATTCCAAGTCCACCGAACAAAGGGAGCCAAGAGGAACATTAATGTTGTAGACATGGTTGAAGTTTATAGGTTGTGTTCCGAGTGGTAAAGTGATATTTTCTTCTTTTGGCTGCAAGATGTCTCTCTTCTGTCTAATAATTTTCTTAATAAGTCCCTCATGCGTTTGATCCACTAAAATAGCGGTGATGAAACAAACTAAAATGTGCCTTTGAAAGACCATTTTGGTGCTTTGTATTCTTCCAGTTTATGCAGTCAGTTTTGTTTATGGATATAGCACCAAGCAATAATGTGTAAAAGAATTGATTCCTTTTGACTCAATTTATCTGTAAGAAATCAAGAAAAATAGTTGTGTAAGAGTCCCATTTCTCTTCTCAAACTGGCATGACATTTTGTAATCTTTCATACATGGAACAAAATTTAATGATCGTATTTGCAAACATTGAGGCAACCAAATTAAGCAAAGAAATCAAAAAATTTGACATCTAATATGATGTTAAATGGTAGAGTGATAGATTTAAAATGCAGACTTAATTACAGCAATGGCTATTCATTACTACTGATGATTAAAACACTTCTGATCTCAGCCTTACGGTTTTATTGCAAACACAGAAGCCACAGGCATGATTGAAATTGCATTAACATGCCACAGCAAGACACAGCTAGAATAAATAACCTGACAGCCATTGAGAAATTGTTCTTTCCAGTCAACCCCTGAATCGATTTGTGTGATGGATGGCTTACAAATTGTGTAACATTTGACATAGCTTTCAACATAATCAGCAACCATTTGCCAGTTTAGATGAAGAGTGAAGGCTTATCTTAAACTGTCAGGTGGACAGTGAACATAAGAGAACTTTAGAACAGGGAAACTGGACATTCTCCTTTGACACAATGACAGTGGATCTTCATTGGGATAGCACTGTCAGTGACCCAGGCCAATTTCTCAGGATGTGGAAAAGGAAATTGGTGTAGTAATTGCTATGATTAGCAACAATGAAGACCTGCAATAAAATCTTTTTTTTAAAATTTCAATCATCTTTGCAAAAGAATCAGTAACATTTAATTACAATCTGGTTGATCCTTATATAAAAGTGTTTCTATGTTTTCACATAGTTGGAACATCAGTATGTCACAAAGATATGTACTTTGATGTCAGGAATAAGAGTGCAGTGTAACCAGGTACGAAACTGAGGGCACATTGTGTGCATGATTGAGGAACACAGCCTTCCATCATTGTAACTTCACATTAACCCATGTACAACTATGAGCATAAAATTGCTGGGAACTTTTCAAGCTTCTGCTTTAAATCTTTAAATATAGCAACAAGGGAGCAATCTTATTGGCTCTTCACTAATATTTAAGGGGTATTTTGATAGGAATCCATTTGCATTTCATGGGGTCAGCAATATACATTCATAGAGTAGTAGAGTCATACAGCATGGAAACAGACCCTTTGGTCCAACCTGTCCATGCCAACCATAATCCCAAAGTAAATTAGTCCCACCTGCCTGCACATGGCCCATTTCCCTCCAAACATTTCTTATTCATGCACTTATCTAAATGTCTTTTAAATATTGTAACTGTATCCGCATCCACCACTTCCTCTGGAAGTTCATTCCACACGCGAACTACACCCTGTATAAAAAAATTGCCCCTCATGTCTTTTTTAAATCTCTTCCCTCTCACCTTAAAAATATAGCCCCTAGACTTGAAATCTCCACAACCGAGGGAAAAGACACTAGCCATTCACCTTATCTATACCTCTCATTATTTCATAAGCATCTATAAGGTCACCTCTCAATCTCCTATGCTTCAAAGAAAAAAGATCCAGTCTATCCAGCTTCTCCTTCTAACTCAAACCCTCCATTCCTGGCAAAATCCTCGTAAATCTTTTCTGAACTCTGTCCAGCATAATAATATCCTTTGTTTAACAGGGAGATCAGAACTGCACGTAGTATTCTAGAAGAGGCCTCACCAACATCCTGTACAACCTCAACTTAAAGTCCCAACTCATATACTCAAGAGCAATGAAGACAAGAGTGCTAAGTGCCTTCTTAACCACCCTATCTATAGGTTTCATCTATTTGTGTAATTATGTTCCCTTGGGGTAGAAGTCCCACACTCTTGGGTTTCCCACTATTGAAAAGCTTAGTAAATCAACTAGACCAACATTGCGGACTTTAGTTTTAATGTTCAGAAAATGAGCTGTGGCATTTTCTCTGATCCTTATTGTCTAGTCACTTAAGTCTGTAGAGTTTTGGAGATAACTCCACATGTCTTTGCAATCAGAAATGTGGAGATTTCCTTTCTGAGCAGAACACTTAAGGGTTGAATGTTGATAGTCCCACAAAGGTTATTTAGGAGGTGGGACGAGGAGCAAAGGGGGAAAGGAGTATGTTACAGTGCTGTTCCCGTCTGGAAAGAGAAGGTTATAATGGGAAACAAAGAGGTGTCACACCAATTCAATACAAATCTTTGTTCTGTCTTCACAAAAGAGGACTTAAATAATATCCCAATAATGTTGGGAACCACAGGGTCTAGTGAGAAAGAGGAATTAAAGGAAATCAGTATTAGGAGGGAAATCATGTTGGGGAAATTAATGGTAGTAAAGACTAGTAAATCCCCAAGGCCCGATAATCTACATTGCAGAGTACTTAAGGAAATGGCCCTGGAAATAGTGGATGCATTGGTGGTCATCTTTCAAAGTACCACATATTCTAGAACAGTTCTTAGGGATCAGAGGGTAGTTAATGTCACCCAACTATTTAAAAAAGGAGGTAGAGAGAAAACAGGGAATTATGGACTAATTAACCTGATACCAGAAGTAGGAAAATGCTAGAGTCCATTATAAATGATTTAACAGCAGAACACTCAGTAAACAGTCACAGGATCAGATAGAGTCAGCATGAATTTACAAAAGAGATATCACACTTGACAAATCTGTTGGAATTTTTGAAGATGTAACTAATACAGTTGATAAGGGGGAGCCAGTAGATATGTTTACTTGAACTTTCAGAAGGTTTTCGATAGGTCCCACGTAAGGGATTAGAATGTAAAATTAAAGCACATGAGATTGGAGGCAATGTACTGACATGGATAGAGAACTAGCTGCCAGACAGGAAACAAAGAGTAGGAAGAAACAGGTCTTTTTCCGAGTGGCAAGCAGTGACCATAAGACCATATGATATAGGAACGTATTTTGGCCCATTGCGTCTGCTTGGCCATTCGATCATGGCTGATGTGTTTTTCAGGCCAATTCTCCTACTTTCTCCCCTTAACATTTGATCCTATTACTAATCAAGAAACTATTTATCTCTGTCTTAAATACACTCAATGATTTGATTCTGTGGCAATGAGTTCCACAGATTCACTACCCTCTGACTGAAGAAATTCCTAGCGGGGTTCTCGAAGGATCAGAACTTGGACCCCAGCTATTCACAATATAGATTCATGATTTAGACGAGGAAGCTAAATGTAATATCTCTAAGTCTGCAAAGCTAGGTAAGAGCGTGATCTGTGAAGATGCATAGAAGCTTCAGTGTAATTTGGACAAGTTGACAGTGTGGGTAAATGCATGACAGATGCAGCATACTGTAGATAAATGTGACATTATCCACTTTGGTAGCAAAAGTAGGAAGGTGGATTATTATCTCAATAGTGATAGATGAGGAAAGCGGGAAATGCAATGAGATATATACCAGTCACTGAAAGTAAGCATACAGGTCACAGCAAATGGTGAAGAAAGCAAATAGTTTGTTGGCCATAATTGCAAGAGGATTTGACACAAGAGCCGGATGTATTGATGTAATTTTGCACACCTTGAGACCATGCCTGGAGTATTGTGCGCAGTTTTGGTCTCTTTTTCAGAGGAAGGAATTTCTGGCTATGGAGGGAATGCAACAAAGGTTTACCAGACTGAGGAATGTACTCACCTATCAGTGGCAGGTAGCCAGTTAGGCCCATAATTGAGATGAAAGGGGAGGGAAATGCTGACAATGCTGAAAGATGTGCCAGCACAACATGGGTCTTGGTGATCCTGCAGCCCAACTTTTAACACAAAGTGGCATCCCAGCAGTGTCAGCAGAAATTTGAAAGCTCCTCACTGTCCCTCCAGCACAGATCCACTTGAATATGACAACCATAGTTGTGACCACAACCCATTCAGTGGGGGGAATTCTCCTCCATATTGATGTCCTGAGAACTATGGTCATGAGAGGCTATTTAACTATACAATCATGCAGAATGCACCTCCATTGTGAGGTTCTCCTAGCTGCATCAGGAGCACACATCTCTCCTGGTGAGGTTCACATTCAGATATCACTACGGTTCCTCCCATTAAACACTCACTTCATTAATCCAAAATTCACTCTCAATTTAACTGGGCTCCCAGGATGGTTTCCTAATTACCATCACTGGAATATTAAGATCAAAGACCCGCTACAGCCACTTCTGAGTTATTGTCTCACATTTGAGGTGAAAGTTCGGATGACCATTCAACTGACAAGATGCAAGCTCAATTTAGAGGGTAAAGAGGAACTATTAGCTTACGACAGGATCCTTTCTACATACAATTTGTATGGGGCCAACTGGTTTCTGATTGTTCTTACTGTAGTATGAATGGAGGATGCTGTGAAGCAGGTATCAACATCAAATTGTTACTTGCAAGTCATTAGAATGTTTGCCAGGGTCTTTAAAAGTATTGGTTTGGAGGTCCCAATTGGTTTTGATCTTAACCTCCACAAGGGTTGGTGTATCTACTGTGTACCATCATTGAATTTTAAAGCACATATTGAGTATAGTGCAACTCAAGTTTCAGTAATCTTTTACACTATTTTTGATGCACTGCATTGAAGTAGGTCCCACCCCTAAAACTGGCCATGTAATCCAGGGTGAATTAATCACCATTGGGAAATTGCCAGTAATTCAGCTTATTAACAAGCCTTCAAGAATTTCTAAAAAAAACTTTATCCCGTTGAGTACAAAGATGCTTTTGAATTACTTTTGAATGGCTTTGAATGCCATATTAAAAATGTATTAAGAAATCAACTAGTGCAATTAATCTGAAAGATTAGGGGAATAAAATATTTTCCAAAACTGTTACTTGTGAATGTGCTGGAGTTGCTGATTTGCTTAAAGTGAAAAAAATTCTGTCTATTATATCTAAATTGGTGCACGTGGTTTTTCTCATGGACTGTAAGTTTTAGTACATCGTGGGTATGCAAAATCTTTCTCTCCACTGCCTAGTAGCAATTGGTAAGTGATTAATCAAATAATAGTCTGAAAGTATATTTGCAACAAATGTCACCACCAACCATCCCCCCTT